AGGGACGAATAAATGGAGGCCCCGTCTCCTGCAGGGTTGGGGGGAGGAGACGGTAATTTCCCACGCACGAGATTACTTTGTGATGGATGTCCTCCCCTGGGGTGGGATGGGTGGGTAACAGGACCTCCGTTGATACCAGTGTTTACTACACTGAAGGGGCTATCTTGTATAAATATAGATGTCTACTTCTACTTGTAACAGTATGAATAATATGCATAGTGATTTTAGGGTGTGAGAAGGGTTAAATAGGAAAAGGAAAGGGAGGAAAACATTAGGTTCGTGTAGAAACTTTTTAAACCCTATTTACCATCATAGCCTGAGAACAGAGAAAGTTATATTAAAAAGGATAGTACTCTTGATGTAATTCCGGACTCTCTAAACTAACAGAGAAGGAAATGTGTAGCTGCTAGTAAGGAGAATTTAGTAAATCGTTGTATTTTATTCCAGTGGTCCCGGCAAGAATGAGGATGATGATCTTATCTTTGAAGACTTCGCTCGCCTCAGGCTCAAAGGAGCAGAACACCTTGACAGTGCAGACGCCTGACTCGTATATTCAACGCGACAATGAATATGGGAGGGGAAAGAGAGATAGGGAAGGATTGTCTAGCTAAAGAAACTATATCTACTTACTTTTTGAATTACCTTCTCTCCTAAGAGTTACAAATGTGAAGATATTGTCTTAGTCTTAAAAATTGTTAGACACCTTATGAAAAATAATGTAGGGTTTTCAGTGCGAAGCGATCTGTTGAACTTGGAATGTCTGTGAAAAAGGCATTCGAGAGGTTTGAGCCTCTCAGTATTCGTTTCCAGGCCTCTTGGTGCCTTTATAGACTTGTTTGCAGATTCAGCTCCAAACGGTTAATAGAAGAAAGTTCCTGCGCAAATTAATGTATGAAAAGCTACATTAGCCGATTTTAGACTTGATCAAAAACCGCCGTCAGTCAAAACTTTGGCATTGTTATTTTTCTCTGTGCAGAAATTGTTTGAATCATTGAACAGCCAAGACTGATTCATATTTCGCATATTAGAGTCAATGAAAGTTACTCCAAATATTCCACTCAGAGAAAACCAAGCGTAAATAATGTTTAGTCTTTTTTTTTTTTTTAATTTTTTTTTTTCCATTTTGAAGAACCAGCAAGAAAATATCTGAGCGGAAAATCAATTAGCGAATTTAGGATATGAAAGGGATAAGTATAGTTTGAAATATCGCTAGATGTGTATACCTGACTTTCTTGTTTAGACCTAGACTGCTATCCTCCTTAAATGTTTAGATCTCATACGAAGACTGACTCAATCCTGTGAGATGGGAGCTTAGGGCGAGGTCATCCAAATTAGAGAAATTTCACTGTATTAATTCGTAAATTGACGTCATAGAAGAGACGTGCGTGGGACTGGGGAGGGATAACAGTATTCAAATTGATCAGATGTATAGTATATGCTGTATGTTGTATGCTTCACTTGTAGCGATTCACATCTGTGGCCAATAAAATTGCAAAGTTGTAACTCGATCAAGCCTACGATCTCAAAATCGCTTTTGAAGAGCATCTCGGAATGTCCAAAGCATGTCAAGTTTAGGAGAGTTGTGGGCTGAGAGTGCGTGAGCCTCGTTCTCGAACACAACGTTGAATCTAGGGCCTTTTCTCTTCGCGCTCCTCAGAAGAAAGAGAGGGATAGGAAGAAGGGGAACCCTGGGGACGAGATAGCCTCAAGCGATACAGTACAGACCAAGCGCGCACCAATAGGCTTTTTTGCAGCTGGGGTCACGTGATCAATTTTTAGATATATGTTATGGGATACAACTTGAAGAAAACCAGAGATGGAAAGAGCAAATCGAAAATACCAAAACGGCCAAGTTTGGGCCCCGGGAATTACAGAGCACTGTTTTTACAGCGGTTTAAACTTGCGGAAAATTTAGAGGTTTTGTATGGAAAATGTTGCTGGAGAGCGAGGCCTTGCTCTCTAGCAACTTTTTCCACTTAAACCTTCTTATTTATTAAAAAATTCAGAGTGTCTTCAAATCTCATTTTTGAATAATGGAGGCCTCAAACTTGGCCATTTTGTTATTTTCGAAGTGCTTTTTCCATTTCTGAATTAGGCTAAGTTATAGCCTATAATTTAATGAAAAGTAGGTCACGTGATGGCTTAGCTGCAAAAGGCCTATTGGACCTCAATAGCTCGTTGGGTTTCTTTACCCATTTCAGGTCATGTAATATTACTTTGGAGAACTCCTGCGCATGTACGCATAATTTACAAATGATAAAGCCGGAAATTCCCTTGAAACCTGAAATGGGCAACAGAACTTAAAAGGTTAAGACAGTTGATAGACGTCTATTTCTTGGCTGTTCTAGATGCAAGTGGGATCACATCTTAAATGGTGAAGTGTCATGATAGCTTGAAGAGAGTTCTCAGATTAACACATCTTGGCATGTTATAACCAAATTTTTTAGAGTTCCCATCGTTTGCCCGAACGGGAGATCTGTTCAGAAACATTTTGGACAATTCACGCGAAAGTTTGTTTAAAAAAAATTGTTTGAAGTTTTCTTTACGTTCGTAACCTACATGTAACAGTCTTATGTGACATGTATTACTATGATCTCGTGTTCTTAATTAGTTCTCTAAATATTCACCGGAAGACTCTTTCCCGGGTTGGTGCATACAACAAAATGAAGTGAAACCATTTTGTCCGTTTCCCGTTCTCAATTACTAAGGACACCTCCGGAATAGGGATAATGTTTTGAACCTGTCGGTATACAGTAAGCAAATATTAGGGTAGGCAAACGAATATTGGTAATAATTTTAAGAAAATAATGTGTAACAGGGATTTTAACATCTTTTCCATGAGCGGCTACCGATGGTGTCATTTAGCCGTAAGGCGAAATCCAAACAAGAGAGAATGCTAGAAGGCTGAAAAGACTGGAGAGACGGCTCTTGTGGCCAGTACCGTTTTTTTTTTTTTTTTTTTTATATCCCCGGTGAAAGCGATAAAGTGGAATAATATCAACTATGCTTCGGTCATTGTCAAGTGAATGGAATGAAATACAGTAAATGTATGTATATATACACGTAAGAAATATAAAAATTTTTTGCAGGTGTAAACAAACGATAAAACTACAAAGAAAGTGCTAGTAAAAGGCTAATTATAAACCTTAGCACAAATTGAATCAGACTGTACATTGAGAGCAGGTCTTAGCTTATGAATAAATAACATCTCAGTCATAGACGAGACAGTCAAATTTGTTCGTGCACTTCATTAAGGTGCTAAAGTTCTTTGTAAGATCTTAATAAAAATTTTTTTTTATATTTCTTACGTGTATATATACATATATTTAATGTATTTCATTCCATTCAGATGACAATGACCGAAGCACGGTCGAAACGTCGTGTTTTACCGTTGATTTTTATCGTCAAAACTTTTAAGAAACATTTGCTTATAACATCAACTAATAGTGGTAATTCGTTTCATTTCGAAGCCCTTTATGTCAGAGTATCAAAGGTGCAGATTGAATGACAATGAAACTAAAACAAGAATTTCACGAGAAGGCCAAACTAGGGATCTTTTTTCGTTCGTACCGGCTGAGAAATTATATATTCCCAAAAAATTCAATAAGTTGGTTGTTAGGGCAAAGGGAAGAGTCAATTTCAAGCGTTCCAAAATTTAAAAAAAAATGTTATACGGCTAGAAAGGTTCGTTTTAATATTGGTCAAGTCTAGAGGAGCCTCTTTTATTTTCGTTTTTGTTTTTGTTTCGTTTTTGTTTTTGTCTGTTTTTTTTTTGTTTGTTTGTTTTGTTTTGTTTTTTAACTGAGGCAGAGATACAAAAAAAGGGGGGCGCGATTAAGAGAAGAATGTAAAAATATAAAATTAAAAAAAAAAACAAATGTTCAAAAAATTGGGGAGGCTATTAAATTCAGTTTTAAAGGTAGCATGGGTGGAACAGAACAGTTCAATCTTTCAAATTTAACAAAGAGAATCCTGACAGCTCAATTTCCGTGTTTATCACTCTCTTGATATTCTGTCGATTCGCCCATAATCTCAGCGAATGTTGTTAACTTAAAGGTAGTAGCTCTGCCTAATGTTTACAAATTCAGAGTGCTATCACAAAATGAATTACAAGGTAGAAGATATTTGTTCCGGAGAGCGACCAACATATGACGAGATTTACGACATCGATAATATTAGCAACTTAAGCCATCAGTGAAATGTTTCCAGACGAAATGATAACCCAGGAAACGGCATCAGCACAACAAACAAAGAAGCACTTGATAGTAATGTTTAGGCTAAGAAACACTAGCATATTTTCGTTCAATGCGATATACGCGAAAGTAGAATATTTCAGCTTTTGTACGCGTTTTATTTACGGGATATTTTGCGGTAGCCACTCAACTCGAACTGAATGGACAAATTGAATAGATATTACCCGCGAACTAGTGATTATGTTTCCATCATTGATTTGCACGCGAGACATTTAATACAGGGATGTAACATATGAATTCTTTCTAGTGCTAAATTATTTCTCGAAGAAATCACCGAAACGTCGATGCCTATTTGTCGGGCAGTATTTCAAAGCTAACTATTAAATCGACTTAAGGAGCACCTGTTTGATCACGTGCAAACTCGCTAAACACGAACCAATTGCTAGCGAGATCCACAAAAACACAGACTGTTGGTTTACATTAAAGGATTGCCACTTCACCGATGTAAACTCCACAGAATAAAACAACGTTAGCCTTGTTCTGCACTGAGCAAGCGACGGTGTTTCAGTTCTTAATTTTCGCGATCGGCGCCCGTCGATGAGAGCCGCATTGTTCACGTCTCAACTGAGAACTCGGCAGAGGCATTTCCCATCGGTTAACTTAATTGTACACGAACAGAACAACTACCCGCTATGACTTGAAAAGGTCGTGTACACCATCCAGTTCGCAGAAACCTCACTAAAAATAGTGACGCATTCACCGAAGTAGAACTGTCAGAGAGGCGGTCAAGATCCAGTGATCTTCCGGTTAGAGAACTCCGCGTCCGCGAACCATCCAAGGCAACTGATGTTCGACTGAGTGTGCTGTGGGCCGGCTTTTATGAACTAAAGGAGGGATGAAATGAAAATGGGCTCATCTACTACTAGCGAGTACGGCTTGAATGCAACTGCCATCGTTGGTTGTGGAATCTCGCTATTTTTTTGCGTGGTTTCCACTATCGCATTTATATTTTTCAGGTGATACAGTTGTCATTGTTCATATTATTCAATGTTTAGGATAGTTTATCTCGTGTTAGTGTTTTAGGACAGTCTAAGATAGCCTTGACTGCCACTGAAAACTCTTGTTAAATTCATCATTTCCGCCTTCACGAAATTCCTTTGACTGAAATCGTTTTGTAATGCCTAAATGAGTTTGACTGCGCTAAAACTATTACTGACCACTCTTTCGAAACATGATTTATGCAGACGGGAATGGTTATGGCAGATACAAACAAAACTTTAATATCTTGAAATCTGCGGTGAGCAATTGTAATATACAACGTTAGGAAATGTCTGCGAATAATGGGGAAAAACAGTCGCCGAAAACATCCTGATCGAGGCCCGTCAAATTGATTTCTCGTTTTCGCCAACTTCTGCTCGTGTGCTATTTATAGTTAGAGAACGTCGTGTAGGTGGTGCTAAAACTTCCCGAAGACTCTCACTATCGATCCTGTATTTGCCTACAAATTGACAGCAAACCTTTTTTTTTAAAGTTTAATCTTATTCCGGCTATGAGCTGAATAAACAGGAACGAAATCGCACGCCAAAAAACCAAAGTGGATGCATGGCCCACACTTTAAAGTTATAGCAGACACAGTTCTTGGACGGGGTTCGTCTTTCTTCTTTCGAAAGAGCGGAAAGTATAGTTTCGAGTCAAAATACCGCTTATTCAATTTCCGTCATCTCAGTTCAAGGTAGAAGGGAGACAAAAGAAGACAGAATCTTAAATTAGTTGCTTTCTTTCGGTTCAAAGCGGCAAACAATTTTAAAGGCGGCGATCAAATGTTTTTTCCCCACAGCCATTTCATACAGTATTTTTCGCTTGTCCCGGGGCATTTTGACGGCTTTGTAATTCAATACAGGAAGAAATAATATGATCATCGAGCAGAATGAAAATGCATCTTGAACGAGGGACTTTGCGTTTTTAACCGTCAATTGACAAGTTGTTTGGAGACATTTTTCGCGCACGGAACATTATAAACAACAAAACAGCGATCAATATTTTTATGCTCTCACCTTTCGAAACTGACTGCAATATATGAATAAATTTACCCACGAAAAACATTGAGAAATTGAAATACGGAATAAATTTACCCACGAAAAACGTTGAGAAATTGAAATACTGAAAACACTTCTAAATCATTTACATGGGCCTATTGGCAAACTCAAAACAATTTGGATGCAAAGTATTGCAATGGAACTAACGATAATTTTCCTAAATGGCATTTAGCCTGAATAACATGCTATTGTTATAAATTTGATAACGGGAGGAAATGCAAGTTTAATCCATTCCAAATGTTCCTTTGAGCCTCGCCGAAAACCATTATATGATTTTCTTCTTCCTTTTTAGTTTTCTTTTTTATAGAACCGATATTAAAATGCAATTTTTTTTTTCAGACAAGCTGTTCATTGAAAACATGGTCTGGTCCATGAGCCTAATTAGCATCCAAATGTCTTTTTTCTCTTCACAGTGTTTATTTACCATTAATTTTTCAAGTAATTGATGGTATCTCCTATACAAGTAGATAATCGCCGAAATCTGCATACATTTATACGCTTTTACAATTCATGGAGAATGCACACGGATCTCTTCAATAGATTTTAGGAAAAATTAACCAATGTGTTTGCTTTTTGAAATATTATCGGAAAACCCTCGAAGTGCACTGGCTTATATTTCATGGAAACTTCGCAAAATCTAACGACTAGAAAATGTTTCGAACGTTCAAACCATGTTAATTGCCAAGTGATTTATTTTTCTTATTTTTGGCTGGTAGACTAGTTGACTCAACACCGGCTGTGCTGTCAAAGGGAATTGGAAAATAGCGGTATCATTATAAAAATTCTCGAAATATTGTCTGAAGAAAATCTCAATGGTTTATATGATGTATCTCTCCATTTTTTTAAAATTTTACCACGCTTTCAACTAAATCAAGGGCAAGGAATCCAGGGAAAACATGCAACAAATCACTGACCGTGTTTATAGATCAAGACTTTTAGGTAACGCAAAAGATCTTGCGTATTTCTGTACGTTTCGAAAATTTTAGTTTCCTATCAATTTGTAGAAAGTTAAATTTTTGTTCCCAAGTGCTAAATTACCTAATAATAACAACGACACCAAGCTTGCATCTTAAAAAGTAGAGATGAATTTTACCGTATTTAATTCGCCCGTTAGCTTTTAGGCTTAAAACCCGGGGAGTGCCCTCAGAAAATGGCTGGGAAACACCCTAAAAACGTGACCAGAATGTCATTTTTTTTGGCATGGGCTCAAGTGCATTTCTATTCTAAGGGGATGTCAATCAAAAGCTGAAAAAGAAAGGAAAGGATTTTACTTGGCACAGGTCATGATCCAGAGGGAAAAAAATCATTTTCGTAACAGTACGACTCTGAAACTAAAAGTACTAATGATTATTTTTGGGATCTAGAACTTAATAGGACTACAAAGAGAACCCTCTGATTTATAAAGAGTACCGATCTACAAACATGCGAAGCTGGCGGATTTTTGTGTGCGCTTTGAACAGTGTAGCCGCAAGAGGCCTGAAAAGGAAAATTCATCCGTGAGCTACGCATGATATGAATGACTTGGGAAGGTGAAAGTCTCCAGAGGAAAACTCATACACCAGAATGCTCTCCTTAGGGATTTTGACCTGTTTGCCTTCAAGAATTGTAACAAAATGACAATATTAATTCTACAGTAATTCTCCTCTTTGAAGAATTGCAGAGTCCACCCCCTCCCCAACAAATACGAAGTTTCAACTCGGGAGGAAAGACACCTCCTACAATCGTCGCCTTCTGGAAATTTAAATAGTGAGGCAGAAGAAGTATACAGAGACTCGCGGAGCATCATGGGATGACTGCTCACAACTTCTCACCAGCATTACAGTTTCATTCTTTAATCGCAAAAACATAAAAAGAATTTTTCGTTTGACTCGTTTTAACGAAGGTTATTTCTCTCTTTTAAATCTTTAGACCTCGGACGGAGTCGTTTCTTATCAAACAGCATTTGATCTTGGCCGTGGGACTGACTCAAGTTGTTCTATTGCTTACCATAACTGCTTATAGAAAGGAGGTGAGCATACGATTAACACTCGCAACACCACTGAAATCTCTCTCGGCCACTGGGTGGAAATTTCCTCTATGAACAAAATTGTCTCGTTAACCGCGCAGGTCCGGTTGTTGAGCCAAGATGAGTTGTATGTAAGTCGTACTGGAAAAGTGTGCGCACATTTCCTGGTCAACCATTATCCCATTGGCTGCTACTCCCCTTCATGCGAAGAAACTGATGTCATTTGATCTCGGCAAATAGAGAGCACAAATACAATGCCCAAGATTCAGTAGACACAGGAGCCCATTACGTGGAGCGTTCAACTCCCATACTAAGCCCATGTCACGGCATTTTCACCGAACGGATTAGTTTTAGACTATTTTTTCCCGGGAAATAGGTTACTCGTGCTCACATAGTCACGGGCCAAATTATAAATTAACTACGCTCTGATCGTGATTGGTCGAAGGGCTTCCGAGGGGAATCCCATTTCGCGGTAAATTCAAACTAAAAATAGACTTGTCTGTGAAAACACCGTGACATAAACAATAGGGCAGTTGGATGCTCCAAGTAATAGGTTCCTGGTAGATGGTGTAGTTTTATGAAAACAGTAGAGCTTTATTTCGTTACTCAATGAGTGTTTCGCCACTTGCTTTACAGGAGGGATGTCAAGCGATGTCGGTTATTCTTCACTATTCCATTTCATCTTGTTTTTCCTGGTGTCTAGTGGATAGTCTATTCTTGTACTTTACTCACACCAACAGTTTTCATCCTCTTAGAAAGAATATTTATTATCTGCTACTTGGCTGGGGTGAGTATTTGGCCAAACTTGTTTAAGATGGCTTGAAACATTTTTCTTAAGCTCTGACCGACTGTATTCAGAGCATTCAAAAGCCGACTTTCCCCATTTGCAGTCAAAAGGGTGTCACACATGTGTTGACCAAACACTTTTGAGATAGAAGACATGGTGCGGCAATTCCTATTTTTTTTTTCAAATGGTATGGAGAAATCCCGTTAAACAGTTTTCGAGAACCGTCTTGGAAAACCCTTTTCAAATTTTTTCTTAACTCCAAGATTTTCGTTTTTGAGATGAGCCTTTGATCGTTGCTGCTCACACAGGCGACAAACGATCAACTGCAAAAGGTAGTAGCATTTCTTGAGTGCGCTGAATACAACCGGCCAGAGTCTGGAAAAAAAATTTTTCTAACCACCCTAACAGGGAAAAAGATATACTGGATGATAACCAATCGGATTGTTAGAAATCAGGGGAAAAAGTAAGCAAAATCAAGTGCCCGAGGGTTTCCTGTAAATCAAGTACCCGAGGGTTTCCTGTAAACACACTGGATAGTTGTCTTGAGAAAACTTCGGCGAAATGAGCGGGAGAACTGGGAAGAAAGCAACTGTCTTCCTGTAATCAAAATTCGTAGTAGAGAGGCAAGCTACTTGAAGAAAATTTTTGAACAGATAGGAAGGAGATAA